AGTTAACCTTGTTTTGATTTAAAACTGAAAAATTTTTGCATACCCCTGGAAAAAACCGAACTTTAACTTTTTCCATTGAATTACATGTTAAATGGTGTAAAATGGAAAAAAGGGCTGTTTTGGTTTTTCCATTGAATTACATGTTAAATGGTGTAAAATGGAAAAAAGGGCTGTTTTGGTGATTTTAGCGAGGTTTTAGCTAGTTAGTCTTGTTTTGATTTAAAACTGAAAAATTTTTGCATACCCCTGGAAAAAACCGAACTTTAACTTTTTCCATTGACTTACATGTTAAATTTTTGCATACCCCTGGATTTTCGATGATGACTCATTATAACGGAAGAACGAGGTCGATTCACGGTACCAAATCTTTTGGACATTATCAGCATTAGGTCAACTAATGATTGCGTAATTTTGATCGAGTTCGTGCTGTTGGTACCAGAGGAAATCGCCTTTAATGGTTGAGCCCATAAAAGCAATGAGAATGTTCGAATTGGCGCGATTTTAGGCCACTTGCGTTTAGTAATTTAGGTCATTAATAAGCGCATGCGATAGTCGGCACTACTGGGATATTACCCCGAAAAACATGATCGCGATTGACCTTATGGTTCAAAAGTTATTGGGTGTCAAAAATAGACACGGACTTAGTCTAATTTTCAGAAAAAGAGGTTTTAGATCACAACCAGATTTATTGTGTTATATGTGGTGAGTGTAGTTGCTGAATTGAGAGAAGCAACCATCAGTAGTTGATGGGGAGGTAAGTGATTGTCTACGGTTATGGATAAGTCAATGCATCAAGCAGTGGTATGGTCCAGACTGTAGCTGTTCACGCATCTATTCCTGTTATTCTGTTGATGTTTGGTGGTTGAAGAGACGGGCCTGAATGGGTTTGGATCGTCAATCATCTTATCACCACACACTATTATACAAAGGTAGAGTACCTGCAAGACCTAAGGTCTTCCTTGGTACGACTGACAATATCTATGAGAGTTGGGCTTTAATGCTATCAGACTTCATATCTTGCATATATGTTCAAACTAGTCACTCAACAGAGTGAGCAGTATTAGTATTGAGCTCTGCTTGTGCAAAGCAGACCGCAAATTGATCCAAGAAATTGGTATCAAGCGGTTATAATACTATGCTGTTTAGTTGACTTGCAAACGTACCCAGCAATGGTTACTCTGCTAGATATGCTTGCATATTCTAGTGGAAGAAGATGGATTCTAAAGAGATTTCTGCGGAATCATCTTAATGCACGACATAAATCTCGATACCTCATTAAAGTTAGCATCCACTTGCTGGTTGTTATCTGAGGATATCGTATTTATAGCTGCAAAACAACTTGTTTAGCATTTTACTTTGCTAAAACATCAAGTTACCTGGTTGATCCTGCCAGTAGTCATATGCTTGTCTCAAAGATTAAGCCATGCATGTCTAAGTACATACTGTTTATAAAGTGAAACCGCGAATGGCTCATTAAATCAGTTACGGTTCCTCGGATATTCTTTTTTACATGGATAACTGTGGTAATTCTAGAGCTAATACATGAACAAGTGTTCCAACCTCAGCTTGCTGACGGAAGGATCGCATTTATTAGTACAAGACCAATGATTCTTATTCACCTAGAACCCTGTTCAGTGATTTCGGTCGCTGTCTAAGGACTAGCAGTGGGGATCTTAGCAACTTCGGTTGCATTTCTTGTGATGACTCTGAATAACTGAGCAAATCGTATGGCCTCTGAGCCGACGATGTATCCCTCAAGCAACTGCCTTATCAACTGTCGATGGTAGGTTATGCGCCTACCATGGTTGTAACGGGTAACGGGGAATTAGGGTTCGATTCCGGAGAGGGAGCCTGAGAAACGGCTACCACATCTAAGGAAGGCAGCAGGCGCGCAAATTACACAATCCCAGTACGGGGATGTAGTGACGAAAAATAACAATACGGGACTCTATTGAGGCCCCGTAATTGGAATGAGTACAATTTAAATCCTTTAACGAGGATCTATTGGAGGGCAAGTCTGGTGCCAGCAGCCGCGGTAATTCCAGCTCCAATAGCGTATATAAAGTTGCTGCGGTTAAAAAGCTCGTAGTTGGATTTCAGTCGAACCTATGGGGTCCACTGATTAAAGGGTTAGATGGTGATGTTAGGTTTCTTGCTTGTGTCTACGGATGCTAGCTTGAACCTTCATTCCTCTTTCCTGGTGGTTACATTCATAGTGTTTAGACAGAAAATTGCTCGATATTTGCTATCAATGCTCTTTACCGAGTGTTGATTCAAGCGATCGAGACTTTTACCTTGAAAAAATCAGAGTGCTCAAAGCAGGCGTCCAAAACCTCGAAAGAGGTGCCTAAAAACGGTATGGTCAACCATCTATATGATGCGTACCACTACCTTAACTTGAATGATCTTGCATGGAATAATGGAATAGGACCTTGGTTCTATTTTGTTGGTCTTAAGAATCCAAGGTAATGATTAAGAGGGACAGACGGGGGCATTTGTATTGCGGCGCTAGAGGTGAAATTCTTGGACCGTCGCAAGACAAACTACAGCGAAAGCATTTGCCAAGAATGTTTTCATTAATCAAGAACGAAAGTTAGAGGTTCGAAGGCGATCAGATACCGCCCTAGTTCTAACCATAAACGATGCCAACCAGCGATCATTCTGAGTAACTAATTTCATGACTCGAATGGAAGCTTCCGGGAAACCAAAGTTTTTGGGTTCCGGGGGAAGTATGGTTGCAAAGCTGAAACTTAAAGGAATTGACGGAAGGGCACCACCAGGAGTGGAGCTTGCGGCTTAATTTGACTCAACACGGGAAAACTCACCCGGCCCGGACACTGAGAGGATTGACAGATTGAGAGCTCTTTCTTGATTCAGTGGGTGGTGGTGCATGGCCGTTCTTAGTTGGTGGAGTGATTTGTCTGGTTAATTCCGATAACGAACGAGACTCTAGCCTACTAAATAGACTTGCAGTTTACACTGCAGTACTCCCCCTTAGTCAACCTGTGGGTGGTAGTATCTCTTGATGGTTTCGGCTGTTGAGGGCTCTGCTGCTATTAGCCTACAGAATTGGCTAGGGTAAGGATGCTGTAGCACTGTAAGGACTTCTTAGAGGGACAAGCGGCGCTCGCAGCCGCACGAAACAGAGCAATAACAGGTCTGTGATGCCCTTAGATGTCCGGGGCCGCACGCGTGCTACACTGAAGTGGTCATCGTGCATACTGTTTCCTGCTCCGAAAGGAGTGGGTAACCGCTTGAACCCATTTCGTGATGGGGATTGGGCATTGTAATTATTGCCCATGAACGAGGAATTCCCAGTAAGCGTGAGTCATTAGCTTGCGTTGATTACGTCCCTGCCCTTTGTACACACCGCCCGTCGCTACTACCGATTGAATGATTTAGTGAGGACTTCGGACTGGTCAATCCAGACCATTGGGAAACTAGTGGTCGGATTGTGCTGGAAAGATGTTCAAACTTGATCATTTAGAGGAAGTAAAAGTCGTAACAAGGTTTCCGTAGGTGAACCTGCGGAAGGATCATTAACGTATTACCCTCTTATTATAAGAGAAATACAACCTTCAAACAATCAAACACTCTGCATAGTGATATTGTAGATGCTAATATGGTGAATGCAATTGAATTGTATTTGCATTAGAGTCGCAATTGTGAATGTTTAATGCAAACATTTAGCCATTGCAACATGATTCTAACTTGCATTACATTCGTTCATTCATACATCCATCTTTCATTATCCAATGCAACAAAGAGTGAGGGTTATCTAACGATAGCCATAATTTCTTTTGCAAAACAATTGTAGTTTATAATGAAAAGCCTGTCTTGCTACATACTTGGTACCTGTTCAAGTCTTCAGCTTATGCTGACGGCAAGGTTTAAAGAAGGAAGTTTTACACTTCTTCGCCTAACTAAGTAAAGACAACTATGGTTTTTATAAACTGCATACAATTGTTTTCAAACCCTCTCAATGCAGATTTAGGATACTTATTAAAAGTCCCACGGTGGCAAAGATACATCTTCAAGCGGTGGATCACTCGAATTACCAATCGATGAAGAACGTAGCTAGCTACGATAATCGGTGCGAATTGCAGGACACGCCGAGCACTTGAGCTTCCAACGCACATTGCGGCTTTCGGGTCTTTTCCGAGGTCACATCTGTCTGAGAGTTGAGATGTAAAATAATCAACAAAACACTTGCATACTACCATATATGCATTGTTTTGAGAGGATTGTATATTTATATGCATGAATCTTGATGTTTTATTCCTTTTCTTAATTGCAATTCGTTGCAATTTAGTAAGGAGAATCTCAAATCTACTTGTTTCACATGATAAATTTTGTGTACAATGCATATTTCATCTCTGCAAGCAGTATATATGAATAGATACTAGCATGAGATTCTAAGGTTAGTCGCCTATCTGACGACGCTAAAGTCGTATTGCAGATAACTATGGTGATCAACTAACCTGTTAACTGATGAATCTTCTTGCACTTGTATAAATCGTACAAATAGTATCTATTTCATTCTGTTAAAGCAGACCTAAGAAGTAATGCAAAGGCAAAATTTGTGCAAACATTAAAGTAGATTTACGTTGCTTGCTTGCAAACAACACAAATAAACATTAATCAACTTAATCAATATTTTTGATCTCAGATCAGGTGAGGTTACCCGCCGAATTTAAGCATATAATTCAGCGGAGGAAAAGAAATCAAATGAGATTCCCTGAGTAACGGCGAGTGAAAAGGGATGAGTCCGGCGCAAAGGTTTTCCATTGAAAGGTGGAAAGCGGTGCTGCGTAATGGCTAGAGTCACGATTATTTCAACTAAATCTGCAAGTCCCTCTGACAAGGGCCCTCTTCCCAGAGACGGTTCTAGGCCGGTGGCAGATCTTGGTTAATGGAATATCGATTACTGGCTTTAGTCGCGGATAGAGTCAGATTGCTTGAGAGTGCAATCCAAATTAGGAGGTAAACTCCTCCTAAGA